AACACCGAAATGTAGAAACATATCAAAAATAATGCACATGATGATCAACAAGGAAACATCTTGAGAGTATGCCATGAACAATAGACACTTTGATCAACATGGAAACATCTTTGGTTCGTTAAAAGCAACACAAATATTACAACAATCAGAACTTGTTATCAAAACAAGACTCTAGCTTGAAACAAAAACCAACCAAGCACAATCCTTTACTGACACTTTTTTACACAAGTGACAGTGTAACAGAGCAATAAGCATATTAGTAGAAAAGAAAACTCACCAAGAGGATTAAGCTCTTCTACATAACCATGAACCCGTACCACCTCCTCAAAGGCCAAACAAACCAACTAAACATCATCGCAATATACACCATCTGAGACGTCACACCAAGGATCTCCTCTTTCATGAACATAAGCAACGACCCTTCAGCTCTAGCCATCACTTCCTCTTGGCTCTGCTCTGAAACCGCCATATCTCTCTCAAAGTTGAAACCTTTCTCACGAATTCCCTAGTTTCAGCTTGTGGGTTCTGCTCAAATCGCCATTACAGAGCAGAAACAGAGCAAAAATTGTAGAAACAGATTAGAGAGATTCGACGAGTCACCACCACCAGCCAATAGGTTTGGGTTATGATTTGTGGTCCATGAAGAGAGCTTCCGATGATTTGGTTCCTCCGTAGAAGAGAGAGACACCGCTTAGATTTGTCATCCAAGGGGGAGAACAGCCTTTCGATTCGATTAATCGATGAAGAGGAGAATAGCCATCGATTCTATTCTTCGCTATTGTGAAGGTCTTCTTGTTTTCTCCTCCCAAAAGAAGCACTGCTTATGACGCGTGGCAATAAAAAACGTTTCTTTCTGACTTCCAAAATAGATACGTCGCTTACATTAATTGGCCTTTTTGATTTAAATTAATTGCTCATTTATCTTAAAAACCCTTCTAAATACGCCGTTAATCATGGTCTTAGTAATGGCCCATCACATGGATCCAGTTCCCATATTCTCTTCAACATGCGAATCCCTCTTAAATTTATGACCAACGACCCAACAAAAAAATAACAATGAACAATTTATATCTTAATTGTATTCAGATTGTATCGTTTTAAGAAAAATATCTTATATTGTTTCATCAAATTGTTCTTTTTTTGAAAAAGAAATCAAATTGTTCTTGTTGTTTATGAACTTAATATATTTAAAAAGAAAACAAAGACTTGTAAATAACTTACTATATTTAAGACGTTAAGAATGCTTGTGAATGCGATAATATGTCTTTGTTGAAAGCTTGGAATATGGTGAAAAGTGAAATTGCTAATAATATTTTAGCTGCTGATTAAGTAGTGATATGATATAAACTACTGCGTATCAACTAGTAATAGCCTTGCTACGAGTTGTTCGAAAAGAAAAAAAGAAGAAGATTGTAACCTTAGATTAGCCTGGCAAGCAAATGGCAAATGGTATCCTGTATTTTAGCATGAAACGTGTGTAATTGACTCCTTAATCGATAGATAAGATTGTTACCGTAGTTTCAGCTAGGGGTGGGCACTTTATCCGATACCCGAACTCGTACCCGAACCCGACCCGAAATATCCGAACCGAAATCCGAACCGAAGTAGCAAAATACCCGAACGGGTATTGAGTTAGGAGAGTTTGGATACCCGAACCCGAACGGGTAATATCCGAACCCGAACGGGTATCCGAAGATAACCGAACATATGTATATATACCTATTTATTCCTAGTTTATTTTCTCTCATTTTATTAAAACTATTTATATTAATGTTATATATAGTTTAATATCAGATAATATACTTATAATTGTAAAAAAATTGATTTGTTACTCATTTAAAATGCATGTTAAGCTTCTTATTCATACTTTAAACAAAATTTGCATTCAAAATTCGAAAATAATAACCAAAATAATGATTTTTATTTTCAATAATTTATTTTCAAACTTATTAATCGTCTAACTTATTAAACATTTAAAAAAAGTTAAGTTAATAGTTAAATTTTAAATACATGAAACTTAAGTAATTAAGAATTTAAAATTTTTCTTTCAAAATCTAAATATCCGAACCCGACCCGAAATAACCGAACCCGAATTAAAAATATCCGAACCCGACCCGATATATAGAAATACCCGAACGGGTTCTAAACCCCAATACCGAAATACCCGAAAACCCGAAATACCCGACCCGAACCCGAACGGGTACCCGAACGCCCACCCCTAGTTTCAGCATACGTAAGAGCGAGGAAGCTAATTTTAAGGAACGTTACTGCCGACAAAGTATTACTGCATAATTAATGCACACATATGGGCATTTGCTCTCACTGACATGAAGTTTCTTCATATTCACGCACCTATTAAAAATTAGGGTTAATCCACTTGCAAGTTTCGTGAACCTATAATAGACTTATATTTTCCATCTTAAACCTATATTTTTGTTCTCCAATTCAATAAGTTCTTTTCCTCTAGAGATATTGCTAAAAGGAATCGTAAAATATCATATGCATGTATTATCATGGACCAAGCATGTGATTGCACACCCAAAATTAATCATAATTTCAAAAATACATGTTATAACAATTATTTAAACTTAAAACCAAATGAAATAAATAAATGATCCGTTACTGTCAAAAGAATCACATTTCCATGTCTTTCTCCAGCTTCCTCAAGTCAAACCTTCATCGACCAAACATAACTTTATTTTCTTCTTTAATTAATAATTAACTAAACTAATTAATAACTTTTTTTCTCAACTATCCTCTGATCCTCTCTATAAATAACTCAAAACTCCCCGCCCTTGAAACACAAAAAAAGAATCAAGAACCAACAAGAACATGGAAGAAGAAATATATTTCCCTGACACCGATCTCGACCTCAGCTTCACATCGACCGTCACCGACCGCACATTCGCCTCCTCGAGCGGTCGCTCCAGCCTAACCCTAAGCTTCAACGACAGACTCTCCACTTCCTCAGCCGTAACAACCTCATCAACTTCCTCCTCAACCATCAACCACCGTCGCCAAGATCCTCACTGGTCAGCAATCAGATCAGCTAAACTCCTCTCCTCCGACGGAAACATCCACCTCCGCCACCTGAAACTAATACGCCACCTCGGAACTGGCAACCTAGGCCGTGTCTTCCTATGCAACCTCCGTGACACCTCCGCGAAATTCGCCCTAAAAGTCATCGACCGTAACAACCTCACCACGGCCAAGAAGCTATCTCAGGTCGAGACCGAGGCCGAGATCCTCTCCTTGCTGGACCATCCTTTCCTCCCTACGCTCCACGCTCGCATCGACGAGTCTCACTACACGTGTCTCCTCATCGACTACGCTCCAAATGGAGACTTGCATTCCTTGCTACGCAAGCAACCTGGTAACCGTTTACCGCTTCAGCCTGTTAGATTCTTCGCGGCCGAAGTTCTCGTCGCCTTAGAGTATCTCCACGCGATGGGAATCGTTTACCGAGACCTCAAACCGGAAAACGTTTTGCTCCGAGAAGACGGACACGTCATGCTATCCGACTTCGACCTATGTTTCAAATCCGATGTTGTCCCAACTTTTAAATCTCGTCGCTACCGAAGAACTTCCTCCTCCCCGTCGCTTCGTCGGCGGAGAAACGGGTGTTTCTCCGCCGCAGCAGCGACCGAGGAGGAGAAGTACGAGAGGGAGGAGATCGTTTCGGAGTTCACGGCGGAGCCGGTGACGGCGTTTTCACGTTCTTGCGTCGGAACACATGAGTACCTTGCGCCGGAGCTAGTCTCCGGCAACGGGCACGGAAGTGGAGTAGACTGGTGGGCGTTCGGAATATTTTTATACGAAATGTTGTACGGAACGACGCCGTTTAAAGGAGATAGTAAAGAGCAGACACTGCGGAACATAGTGTCGACCACTAAGACAGTGAACTTCCACGTGGACAGTGACTTAGAGGAAGCTCGGGACTTGATTGAGAAGCTCTTGGTTAAGGACCCGAAGAAGAGGCTAGGATGCGCCAGGGGTGCGCAGGATATCAAACGGCACCCGTTTTTCGACGGGATCAAGTGGCCGTTGATTAGGCATTATAAGCCACCGGAGGAAGTCAGAGGGCTTGTGATCAAGAAGTCGACGAGAGCACATGCTGGTCACGTGACCGCTGTGACACCGCGACGGAGGAAGTCGTTTTTGTGGAGGGCGTTGTCATTTTTACTGCGCGGTAAAAGCTCTAGTGGTGGGAGTAAAAATCAGAGCAATAGTAATTATTATCATTATGTAGGCAAAAGCTACGCGAGTCGTAAACGCGTTTAAGGCTGCCTTGTGCATTTTTTTTATGTTTTCCTTCTTTGATTTTCTTATACGAGTTTAGAGGTAAAACAATACAAATATAGAGGGTGTATATGTGTGTATACAATAGGATGTTCGACGATTTTGTATATGGAAATTATACCAGAATGAATACTATTTTGTCATATATTCGTCCATATATATACTTGACTGCACTATATGGTTTCATCGATTACAAAGGCTAATAAATCTTAAAATACAAATAAAAATCATATTGCGAGTTTACAACTCAAGATAAATAAAAGCTAGCTACAAATTACAATTTCATTTTCATGTTTATAGAGAGTAATAATACACTACTCTCTTACATACTTTGTTTTTGTAACACAACTTTCATTAAAACTCTACATATTTGTGTTACAAATAGAGAGAGAGTTGTTTAAAATTCTACGAGCATAAGATAATCCAATATAAACGATAAGCTAGATCTCTAAGAGCAACATTATTGGTTATTCTTAATTTTTAGTCCTTAGGTTATTTTATGATTATAGTTATGTTAAGAGACTTAGTTAAGGACAATCTTAAAAGTGTAGATTATTGGTAGGACTTTAGTTGGGTGAATGTATTGTTAAAGAGCTGAAGAGAGTATATGATCAAGGTAATACAATACATTGATTCAATCAGCTGCACACACAACCAAATGCCAATGAGACACATATCAACTATCATATACCCCAAACTTTCTATTTTACTAACAAAGCAGCCACGACAAGAGCACACTCGTATGATAAACTCATACAGTCACTAACCTGATACATAGAGTTCAAGGCGAGCAACGATGACTCTTGAGACATAATCCCACTGGAATGAGTAAGTAACAAACACTTAATCCACGGAACCGTACAAGCTAAAACCGCACCCCTGCAAAATCAAGAAAACATAAAACCACCACTTCAAAACCAGCACATGAACACCAAAATCCCATCTTAAACTCTGATCTTGATTGAAGTACTAGCAGAAGAGAATTAAGAAGCTTGAGTACTTCTGCTGAATTCAACTTAGAAACTGAATTAGCAATCACCTATTCATCTCGGTTGTACAAGCAATCAAGAAGAAGAGACCTGTCATCAGCATGCAACGCTTGTCTCAACAGAACGTTAACGGAGGCTGCAGTAGGAGGTTTATCATTGCTACTATTGAAAAGTTTCTCTCCGCTTAATAAGTTAAGACTCTCAAGTTTATCACCATCGTTGTGAGGGTCTTCTACTTACACTCCATCTCTATCTTCATCAACACCTATATCAAGAAGCAGGAGGTCAACAATTGAGCTACAAGCAGTGAAATTGAGCAATTAGCTGATGAGATTGAGAGTAGGATGAAGCATACCTGCATCAGAGGTGAGAAGATGATTCAGTTTCTCTTTGGCCATGATCGGCAATCGACGATGGAAGCCGGAAGAGGAAGAAAGTCGATTTGTCGTTGGAATCTCCGGAGAAGCTATCGATTTGTGCTTGAAATCTCTCGACTTTCCCCAACCCTATTTCAACACCCTATTGAAAGCTGCCACGTCTCTCTTAAGGACGAAGCCCAAAGTCGCTAATTAAGGTCCGTTTGTTAGTTTATTATGTCTTTTTCATTTATTTTTTGACCTAATATTGCTAAGGCCCAAGTGAAGGACCACCAATAATGATGGTCTAAGATAAAAAGATAGCGAATTCAAAGTAAGGCTTGAATGTTTATAGAGTAATACACTTTCTTACATACCTATTTATAGATTTTAGTACTAATTTCATGACAAGCTATAAATATATACGGATTAAAAGAAAAAAAAATGAGTTCTCTAAAAACGATTGGTAGATGGGTTTACTGATAAAGAATGAGAGGAAACACGCAACATCATTTTCCAATTGCATTGCACATTTGCCACCCTGAAAACATCCATAAAATATCAAGTTTTTTTTGAACCACCTATAAAATATCAAGTTAAAGGATGTTAAATACACAATAATGGTTGGATAGAGATGGGTGCAAGACGGTCTTACGGTAAAAAGAATATCGAGACTAGTAAAAAAATTGGCTTTACCGTCTGGACTATTAAACACACATAATGGTTAGATTTCCATTGACTAGGAAGGATGCTAGTAGCCCACAATGGTGGATTCCATTGTGGAGTCCTTAGACAATATAATAGTTTTTTTTTTTTATTAAATAGCAAAGGATTCAAAGCAAAAAAATCAGTCCAATGGTGGATTCCATTTAGGAGTCCTTAGGAATTTTTTTTTAATTATTAAACATGTGAGTCAATAATACAATTGCCAAAAATAAAAACCAAATATCATAACACATACTTGTTACCAATGAAGCTCTCTCCATTTCCTTTTCTTGTAAAGACAAACTTTCCCCTCAGTGATCTTACAACGCACATGAGTTTTTTACCATTGTAGATTCTCACCGAGGAATCAACATACTTTGGCAGAATTGNAATTATTAAACATGTGAGTCAATAATACAATTGCCAAAAATAAAAACCAAATATCATAACACATACTTGTTACCAATGAAGCTCTCTCCATTTCCTTTTCTTGTAAAGACAAACTTTCCCCTCAGTGATCTTACAACGCACATGAGTTTTTTACCATTGTAGATTCTCACCGAGGAATCAACATACTTTGGCAGAATTGTCGATCTCCTTGACCACCATATCTTCTTGTTCAAAGCTGCGTTTTTCTTCTTCATCAAGAAAGCATCAACGAACGGATCTTTCCATACAGATCGGCTCACTACCTTATTGTCTTTCTTCTCATCTTCTATAGCTCTCTGCAAAAGCAAAGACACACGACAAGGCTTTTGTTAAAAATGCACAAGAATGAAAAATGATTAACTATACTAAGCAAAATAGTTCAGTCCAAGAAAGTAAAACACAGATACCATGTTGCAAATGTTCATCAAACATCAATCATTCAATGCCTAAGAGTACTGACGACTTAAAACCCAATCACACATACTTGAGAGGTTTAAAAAATAAACACACACGTTACTATAGAAGAGTTAAAAAAGAGTAGCAAGATCCAGATTTTTACCCTCTGTAACACCGTTGAAGGTAGAGAAAGCATCCTTCAAGGACTGTTCATCAGTTCCGGGTGATAGACCTAAGAACAGTTAGAACATTAAAACAGTTACAGAAAACATCAAAGCTAATACACAAAATAAGAAAGATTCAAATGAACGTTAGACTTTACCACCAATGAAAAGTTTTGTGGACATGAAGCAGAGCATTGATATCATTGGAACATTTTTTTCTGTAAAGCTCCGAGTTTGGTGCAGAAAGACATTCTTTAGATGTCTGAAAATGATACACTCTATTAGAACATCTTAACTACACCCTAAATCAAAAAAGGAAGAAGGGATCGCAAACACGAATCCCCGGACATTTGATTCCGACATTGAAATCTAAAGTTCTAATAAGACAACATATGAGTTACTTGCCCAGAAAACGACGGTAACATATAGAGAGAAGAAGGAAGCAAAACCTTGAGAAGTATAGCTGAGGACGTTCTTGTCGTCGTTGATTTTGCAGATGGTTAGACCGTAGATGCAGAGGAACAAGAACAAAACTCGTCACTAACCATAAAGTACTAACCAAATCAAACTTGAATCGATTGAAAGACCCAAATCGAAAAAACCCCAAATCAAAAAATCCCCAAATCGTTTTGAATACACATCCCCGAACCCTAAATCCCGAGAAAAACATCATGCAAGATCCCTAAATTGAAACTCTAGTCGATTACATCCATAAATCAACAACGAAAGACAAGGATTTACTCTGATAATCCAACTCTCGAAATCGCTTCTCACTTCACCCACAGTTTTTTTTTTTCCAGATGGTGTCGAAATGAATTTTTTTTTTTTTTTAAATTATATACTTACTTCACAGCAGCTGCCACGTCAGTAAGGATTTGGTCCTTCTGCCTCTTACTTAAGGATCAATCCTTGATCAACTGCTATTACTTTATATTTTTTAATTCAAAAAGCAGTAAGGATTTAGACTTAAGGACTTGAATTATTGACCGTTGCAGATGGTCTAATGGTTGGATAGAGATGGGTGCAAGACGGTCTTACGGTAAAAAGAATATCGAGACTAGTAAAAAAATTGGCTTTACCGTCTGGACTATTAAACACACATAATGGTTAGATTTCCATTGACTAGGAAGGATGCTAGTAGCCCACGTCTCATCCTTCAATTGATTGGAATGTGATCGTACTGGTTATTCAAAACAACATAATAAAAATTTCTGATTCTTGTTGGGCTTAGAATCCTTAGACCCACAATAACAATATATATACTAAAGTCTTCATATCTTAACATGTATGGTTGAATGTTGATGAAGATTTGAATGTGATACAAGATCTGTTGTTATCCTGAAATTGATACACGTGGTATAGAAGAACTGATTGGAAAAAAATTGGACGAAATTAAGAGGGATGATTTTGTTATACCAGCTGTAAAACCGCAAGGAATGATAGGGGATGATTTTGGTTTGAGTAATTTAATCATGATAATGGTTAAAGATTATGTTTATAAGCCCAAGCTGAGATATGGGTCGGCCGACCTGTAGTTTTTTTTATTAATTTCAAGATATTCCGGATTTATGGAAGAAGCTAGACTAATCTCCAAATAAGCTGTAGTCTATACATAGATTCTTTTTCCAGATATGCAAATGGACCTGAAAACACAAATCTATATTTGTATAGGTGTCCAGAAACTATATGACTTAATTTCACTCAACAGATGAATCAAACCTCAAACATGTTATGGTCATAGTCCTTTCCCTTTACCACTCGACCATATTGTCTCAGACGACCACAACGTAGTTCACATTTGTATTTTTGATTTATACTTAAAGTAACTAAGCACTTACCAAGCTAACGAAGCCAAATAAACTCAAATATAAATGTAAGTTTGGTTGTCTTTAACTAAACTTCAGTTATACATAAGCCATATTTCATCAAGTTTACTTTTCAATTTTCTTTATAAACTTCATAACGTTGCAACCTAATCATCGAAAATAGGTTGGAACACTCTTCCGTAGCAATATGAATACAGTCGTTGAGATTGAAATCAAAGTGTTTTTTTCATTTCAATTAGATGGTTATATATTTTTTTGATCCGGTTTGATTCGATCATTTGATATGCTCTAAGAGAACCAAACAAACCTGCTCAAGTGGAGAAGGAAAAGATAAGGTTGCCGGTTGCATGTTCCCCTAAACTCAAATCTCAATGTTTTGTAATCTTTCAACATATTTCCACTTTCCATGCCCACCTTTCTCTCATTTCTACTCTTTCTTAGATCTTGTTGAAGCCTATTAAAACAATGTTATGAAGTTAAAAAAAATCTCCTTATAGGGTTAAAACAAATAATATTTTTGAACAGCTGTGTGCTACCCGCGTTTCTTACATATAATAAAGGTCCATAAAATAAGTTCTTTGTTGAATCTCAAGACTATTTATTTAAGTGTGCATGTGCATCTTGTTCCTTCCCATATACAATACCGCATTAGGAATGTTTCTATATATGTTTTGCTTCATTATGTTATTTCAATATAGACAAACATAAAATGTGGTATTACACGGATTGTTATTTCGGAACCCATAATATAATAGATTTGACAATGACAGTAAAATATTTATGTCCAAAGTTATAATGTCATGAAAATATAGTTCATTGGAGAATTCAAAGCGAGTCATGCAAATCTCAATGAACCAAAAAAAATCAAGACCATATTCATTCTTAATTCACTTCTTTTTTATTTACAACACTTTTTTTCTTCTTTTCTTCTCTATATAAACTCTTCAAGTCATGTTCTCCTACATCACCAGTCTTTCAGTTGCTCTTTCTCTCTTTTCCATCACCCACAAAAGGGTTTTTTTTTTTGCAACCAAAATCTCAACCTTCAAAAAAAACAAAGTCTCATCATATCTTTGATCAATAATAGAAACCCTAATTATCATGGCAGAGTTCAAAAGAAAGTTCAACAAAGGTCATGCCTTCACAAGCAAATGTGTTTCCTTGGTGAAGGAACAACGAGCTCGTCTCTATATTATCCGCCGTTGCGCCACCATGCTTTGCTGCTGGTACATCCACGGCGATGAATAGAGAATAAGCCTTTCCAGCTCTCTACATATGTATATATATTCCCTACCTCTCTTTGAAACTCCACTGATGTTGAAGCTCTCTGTTGGTGGCTGCATGGCCTGATCCCTCTCCACAAAACTTTTGACTCTCTCTTCTATTGGCACAAAACCCTGCAAACTTTCGTTTTTAAACCTAAAGAATCATTCTTCTGGTTTTTTTTTTTTGGGTTTTCATGGGTTATTTTGCATCAACCAAAAGAGAGAGACACTTTATCCTCCGATTGAGCTGGCGGAGTTTTTGTTTCTGAAACATATGGAGAGAGTCGAGAGACCCCGTGGATCATGGATGATGTTGTGTGACAAAAGGAGTTCATCTATGAAATCTTCTAAATGTTATGGGTTTAGTTTTATTTGAACAAAAAAGTGTTTTGGTTTTCATCTATATATGACATAAGAATCTTCTTGTATGATTCTTGCCTCTGGTTGTAATGCCAACATTATATGTAAGAAGAATAAAACTCTTGATTTTGGAAATTTAGGCTATTTTATTAACTCAAGCTCAAAAACTAAACAAACCAGAACTCATCTTATTCTATTTTACAAACCAACATCTTAACCGAGTTCTGGTTCAGTCAAAATCTGTTCCAGGAACCAAGTTCCAGTTCAAAAAAAACAGAGCACTCTTCAAAGAGGAGACATCTGAAGGTCATAATCTGGTCCAAGCCGAACCGAGTTAACATAATCAGTCGGGCAATGATCCGAGAGACCTGGAATCAACAGTCCTATGAACCTAAACAAGATCCTAAACCATCCTTCTTTATAACCCGGTCCATACATAAACCCCATCATCAAACCTCTAACCAACTCCCAAACCGCGTTTACATGGCTAAGAACCGCATAACGCATACCGTAAGGGTTCGGATCCGGTTCATCCTCTGCTTTCTGTCAAACACGAAAAAAAAACCATATCATTAGTTTTAAGTCCAAACATGAAATCTTACAAGTAATGAGAACATTACTGTCTCGTTGTAGAAACTGTCGTAGTAAAGACAGGTTCCGAAATGCTTGTAGAGGAACGTTGTGTCGTCATAAGGCAATCTAGGGACAAGATCGTTGCAGTACACAACTCGAAAGTATCTATCCACAGGGTGGTTCAGCTTAGCTTTCATGAAACTACCAATCTCTCTGTTTCCAATCCTAGGTTGTCCGAACGTGTAAACTCCAAGCAGCCTCTTCATCATCTCCGTCTCCTCTTTCAACACAAGTAACGTGGGAAACAGTATCGCTAACGCACCTCCTAAGCTGTGACCCGTGACTACAAATTTAGCGTTAACGTGTTCCGCAAGCAAACGTTTCAGAGTTTCTCTAACTGCGTAATAGGCACTTCTTTCGACCATCTCCGGGAGATTAGTTTGGTGAGTCTCTTTCTCAGAGGAGGTTAGAACGAGATGGTAATCAAAAGTGGGAGTGTAGTCTCTGCTACCTAAACCCATTGCTTCAATGAAACCCATGTGAAGCTTCCCTACATTGGGGATCTCATACCAAGAATAGTCAAAGTCTGTTCCCCAATCATCTGCATCAAACGGCTCAGTGCCTCTGAAGCTGATCAGTATCAAGTCTGCATCTTTCTCCTTATCAGTAAGTATAAACACTTGTGTAGACATCTGCTTCTGATAATCTACAATAAACACAAAACACACATCCACAAAACTGTTCATGTATAAAAAGTAAACACAAGTGTTTTTTTTTTTGACTGAATTAAGTAAACACATGTGTTGAGAATCTAATCCTCACCATTCCAACAATCTAAGAACTCCACCAGATTCATCTGCAAGCATCAAAAGATTGAAACTTTATAAAGTTAAAAACTTTATCCTAATAAGTAATAAAGTTTCTATTTTGAGAAAAAAAAACTTTACCTTCCAATGAAGATTCACAACGTTTTCAACAACCTTAGCGTTCTCATACGCAAGCTTCGAA